TGGGGACACAGCTGGGGACATTGGGGACAGCTGGGACACAGCTGGGGACACTGGGGACACAGCCAAGTGACATTGGGGACACACCTGAGGACACCTGGGACACACCTGGACAGCCTGGGGTCACCTCTGGTGTCACACCTGTCCCCCAGGTGTGACACCTGTGCAGGTGTCACACCTGTCCCCAGTGTCACACCTGTCCCCTCACTGTTCCCGTTTCAGATCACGGTGTCCCCACCTCGGTGACGTTCCAGGTGTCACACACCTGTCCCCTCAGCTGTGCAGGTGTCACACCTGTCCCCTCACTGTCCCCTTTCAGATCACGGTGTCCCCACCTCGGTGACGTTCGTCCCCACCCACCCGGCCCAGCTGGTGGCCGGCTTCCGCTCCGGTGCCACCGTGCTCTACGACCTCGAGGCCACCAAGGCCACCCTGGTGTCCCCAAACGGCGGTGAGTGACCCCCCCCGATGTCCCTGATGTCCCCAAGGGCCACCTGAACCCCCCCAATGTCCCCAAGGGCCACCTGGGGCCACCAAGTGTCCCCAAGGGCCACCTGAAACCCACAAATGTCCCCAATGGTCACCTGAACCCCCCCAATGTCCCCAAGGGCCACCTGAACCCTCCTGATGTCCCCAAGGGTCACCTGAACCTTACAAATGTCCCCAAGGGTCACCTGAACCCCCTGATGTCCCCAAGGGTCACCTGAACCCCCTGATGTCCCCAAGGGTCACCTGAACCCTCCCGATGTCCTCAATGTCCCCAAGGGTCACCTGAGATCACCTGGGGTCACCTAACCCCCCCTCACCCCTCGCAGCCGCTGACCATCACGGCCAGCGATGACCGCGCCATCCGCTACCTGGACAACCGCACAGGTGGGCTCGTCAGGCTAATTAGGGGTAATTGGGGGTCGTTAGTGTAATTTGGGGTGTAATTAGGGGTAATTAGGTTAATTAGGAGTCACTTAGGGGTCATCAGGGTAATGAGGGGGTTATTAGGGGGTCATTAGGGTAATGAGGTGGTCATTAGGGATCATTAGTGTAATGAGAGACTCATTAGGGGTCTTTAGGGTAATGAGTGGGTCATTAGGGGCTAATTAGGGTGATGAGAGTGCCATTAAGGATCATTAAGGTAATGAGAGAGTCATTAGGGGGCTATTAGGGGGTCATTAGGGTAATGAGGTGGTCATTAGGGGGTAATTAGGGTAATGAGAGGATCATTAAGGATCATTAAGGTAATGAGAGGGTCATTAGGGGGTGATTAGGGTAATGGGAGTGTCATTAGGGATCGTTAAGGTAATGAGAGGGTCATTAAGGATCATTAAGGTAATGAGAGGGTCATTACGGGTAATGAGGGTGTCATGAGGAGTCATTAGGGTAATGAAGGGATCATTGGGTAATGGGAGTGTCATTAGGGATCGTTAAGGTAATGAGAGGGTCATTAAGGATCATTAAGGTAATGAGAGGGTCATTAGGGGGTGATTAGGGTAATGGGAGTGTCATTAGGGATCGTTAAGGTAATGAGAGGGTCATTAAGGATCATTAAGGTAATGAGAGGGTCATTAGGGGGTGATTAGGGTAATGGGAGTGTCATTAGGGATCGTTAAGGTAATGAGAGGGTCATTAAGGATCATTAAGGTAATGAGAGGGTCATTAGGGGGTGATTAGGGTAATGGGAGTGTCATTAGGGATCGTTAAGGTAATGAGAGGGTCATTAAGGATCATTAAGGTAATGAGAGGGTCATTAGGGGGTGATTAGGGTAATGGGAGTGTCATTAGGGATCGTTAAGGTAATGAGAGGGTCATTAAGGATCATTAAGGTAATGAGAGGGTCATTAGGGGGTGATTAGGGTAATGGGAGTGTCATTAGGGATCGTTAAGGTAATGAGAGGGTCATTAAGGATCATTAAGGTAATGAGAGGGTCATTAGGGGGTGATTAGGGTAATGGGAGTGTCATTAGGGATCGTTAAGGTAATGAGAGGGTCATTAAGGATCATTAAGGTAATGAGAGGGTCATTAGGGGGTGATTAGGGTAATGGGAGTGTCATTAGGGATCGTTAAGGTAATGAGAGGGTCATTAAGGATCATTAAGGTAATGAGAGGGTCATTAGGGGGTGATTAGGGTAATGGGAGTGTCATTAGGGATCGTTAAGGTAATGAGAGGGTCATTAAGGATCATTAAGGTAATGAGAGGGTCATTAGGGGGTGATTAGGGTAATGGGAGTGTCATTAGGGATCGTTAAGGTAATGAGAGGGTCATTAAGGATCATTAAGGTAATGAGAGGGTCATTAGGGGGTGATTAGGGTAATGGGAGTGTCATTAGGGATCGTTAAGGTAATGAGAGGGTCATTAAGGATCATTAAGGTAATGAGAGGGTCATTAGGGGGTGATTAGGGTAATGGGAGTGTCATTAGGGATCGTTAAGGTAATGAGAGGGTCATTAAGGATCATTAAGGTAATGAGAGGGTCATTAGGGGGTGATTAGGGTAATGGGAGTGTCATTAGGGATCGTTAAGGTAATGAGAGGGTCATTAAGGATCATTAAGGTAATGAGAGGGTCATTAGGGGGTGATTAGGGTAATGGGAGTGTCATTAGGGATCGTTAAGGTAATGAGAGGGTCATTAAGGATCATTAAGGTAATGAGAGGGTCATTAGGGGGTGATTAGGGTAATGGGAGTGTCATTAGGGATCGTTAAGGTAATGAGAGGGTCATTAAGGATCATTAAGGTAATGAGAGGGTCATTAGGGGGTGATTAGGGTAATGGGAGTGTCATTAGGGATCGTTAAGGTAATGAGAGGGTCATTAAGGATCATTAAGGTAATGAGAGGGTCATTAGGGGGTGATTAGGGTAATGGGAGTGTCATTAGGGATCGTTAAGGTAATGAGAGGGTCATTAAGGATCATTAAGGTAATGAGAGGGTCATTAGGGGGTGATTAGGGTAATGGGAGTGTCATTAGGGATCGTTAAGGTAATGAGAGGGTCATTAAGGATCATTAAGGTAATGAGAGGGTCATTAGGGGGTGATTAGGGTAATGGGAGTGTCATTAGGGATCGTTAAGGTAATGAGAGGGTCATTAAGGATCATTAAGGTAATGAGAGGGTCATTAGGGGGTGATTAGGGTAATGGGAGTGTCATTAGGGATCGTTAAGGTAATGAGAGGGTCATTAAGGATCATTAAGGTAATGAGAGGGTCATTAGGGGGTGATTAGGGTAATGGGAGTGTCATTAGGGATCGTTAAGGTAATGAGAGGGTCATTAAGGATCATTAAGGTAATGAGAGGGTCATTAAGGATCATTAAGGTAATGAGAGGGTCATTACGGGTAATGAGGGTGTCATGAGGAGTCATTAGGGTAATGAAGGGATCATTAGGGTGATTAGGGGTCATTAGGTGGTGACTGGGGGTAATTAGGTGATCATTAGGGTAATTAAGGAGTCATTAGGGTGTCATTAGTGGTCATTAGGGTAATCAGAAGATCATTAGGGGTCATTAGGGTAATGAGAGTGCTATTAGGAGGTAATTAGGGTAATGAGGGGGTCATTAGAAGGTAATTAGGCTAATGAGGAGCCATCATTACCCCTAATGAGGCCAGGAAAGGGGTGTGGCCTTCCCCAGCCCCGCCCATTCACACCACACCCCTTTGTGGCCACGCCCACATCCCAGAGTCACCTCCCCCTTTGCTGACCACACCCCATTTGGCCACGCCCCCTCACTGACCACACACCCTTAGGCCCCACCCCTTTCCCCTCTGGCCACACCCCTTCACTGATCATGTGACTTTAGTCTGCTCCCTTTGCTGGCCACGCCCTCTCAGGCCCCACCCTTGCTGACCACACCCTGCCAGGCCCCGCCCCTGCTGACCACACCCTCTCAGGCCACGCCCCCACTGATCAGACCCCACCCCCTGCTGACCACACCCTCTCAGGCCACGCCCCCACTGACCACACCCCATCAGACCCCACCCCCTGCTGACCACACCCTGCCAGGCCCTGCCCTGTTAGACTCCACCCCCACTGACCACACCCTGCAATAAGTAGTAAGAAATACAATTTGCATAATAAATATCAATATCACAACAGCTAAAGCAAACCATGACAAATTATCTGCTGGTAAATGGCCGGGAGATTATAGAATGCAAATTGCAAATCCTGAACTCTAGGAAATGACTTCCCTAACCTCCCGCGTCTCATTCAGCAGACGGGGAGGGACTCGGGCCGGGCTCAAACTGGCGATGCTCCTGCTGGAGTCCGAGGGGCTTCAGCTCGTGCCTAAACACTTTGCTAATTAAAGCTGAATCTCAGCTCTGGGGATTTATCTACATGCAGATTTAGAGGTGCTTGATGGTGGCTGGGACTAATTGGGGTAAGAGGGACTTTGATCCAAAACGAGCCATTTAACCAGGGCTGGTGCAGCCCTTGGGGCACACGGAGCTGCAGCAGCCCCAGCTCGAGCAGCTGCAAACCTGGACAAGCACAAACCTCGGGACACCTCCTCTGCACCCCTGGCACACCTGCTCTGCCTTTAGGAAAATGAATGCACACTGTCCCAACATTAAAGATTAAAAGCAGCTGCATCTCGTCACAGCCAGAAGATTTGTCCAGAGCCAGTGACAAAAAAAAATGGTTTTTTGGGGAATAACCTTGACTGCTGGTGCTGCATATATTCAAGGCATATTAATCACAATTTCTGTGTGAATACTTCTCCTTTCACTGGAAATGGAGAGGGGGATGAAGCTTGGGGAGTTCTGGGGTGGTTTGATTATAAATGCTGCACAGAGCCCACTGAATATCACAGTACAAACTGCTCAAGACATGAAAATATCCAGTTAGAGTCAAGGTATTCCTTGACTCCAGCCCTTGGGATAAAATCTGGCAACACAGGGGAGTGGGGCTAATTTTTTGGTTGAAATAGTGCTTTCCTGTATTACAAATTGTAATAATAATTAAAAGGAGTCTTTCTTCTACAAAGACTGAATTGACCAGAGATTCAAAGATGAAGTGCTGTGAAAAGAAGAAGGGTTACATTTGGGGAATGGCTTGCAATTAAAGACACACGAGGTAATTGCTGCAGCCACCTCCTGCCCTTTACAGCCCCTGCCCACGGAGGCCACCATAACCCAAAATCTGAGGTATAAAAACCCTACAAGAAGATAAAGCAAGCAGGCAGCTCTTCTCTCTCTACATCCCCCTGTATCCATGGGAACAGGCTGGGATTTGACATCTACACAGCAGCTATAGACAGAAAGCCTGCAGTGCACAGAGGAAAGGTCAGTGGAGCATGCCAGCCATGGTGGCACCCACGGAGCAGCTGGGGCACTGGGGACACCCTGGGACACCTGGGGACACCCTGGGGTGGCCTTGGGACACCCGTGGGACACCCTGGGGTGGCCTTGGGACACCTGGGGACACCCCGGGGTGGCTCTGGGACACCCGTGGGACACCCTGGGGTGGCTCTGGG